TTAACCGTCCGAGTTCCACAATTACGGTAAATTAACCGTCCGAGTTCTACAATTAGTAGGTTAATAGAATTATAATAATGGTGATAATAAAACTCAAGTGTTGAGAAAATCTTGCATGAAATTAAGTCAAACGCGTTTGCATTTTACTACTGCGTCGGTAAGGTCGCGCCAAATTTCCCATCGTGCATACCTAGTATCGCTTCGGTGACCGATACGGTGAGCTTTTTTGGAGCTGTTCCACAATTTGGTACCAATTAACAATGAGTCGTGTTTCAAGGTAGTTAAAAGTCATCCAGTCCCCTTTTTTCGCCAACGTTGCTCTCAAATGACTCTCCCGTAGACCGCCTAGTAAGTCTCGCTGGTGATTTTTGCGTTTAATATGGGCGCACCTGTTAACCAGTTCAATAGGTCATCGAATTGCAAGTTTTTGCTTTTATCATATTTACATCAAAGATATCATTTTATTTAAATTTATTTCCTTTCTTTTTAGTTGATTACATTAGCTTAAAATTTAAGGGTATTTTTTTTGTTTAACTGATTTATTTAGTTTATTTTAAATATTAAACAATTTTAAAATTTTTTAATTTACTAATCTTTACCAGGCGAAATTATTATTAATATTTGGCATGGAGTACATGGACATGAAAGTTTGTATTCACCTTGTGTATTTTATTCCTTCCTAAAGATCTTTCATTGTATTGCATTTTAGGATAAATCTATGATTATTACAAGCAGAACTTCCACTTTCGCCTTTTTGATAGAGCTCATGACGAATGCGTTGTCACTTTTTGTACATTTTTTTTATTTATTACAAGTCATTTTCGTGGGAGGTAAAGTTATTTTCGTGGAAGTTAAAGTTCTTTTTAGTAGCGATTGTAAACAAAAATTAGAATCTGCAACGATAGGATGCAGTTAGCCCGAGATGTTTCGTGAAATATCTTTCAGATTTGCTTAATTTAATTTATCGGCATAAAACGTCAATTTGCAGCATATTATTAAATTCAGGCAGCCCTGTCAAACGCAGCTTTGTTGGGAATTTCAAATATTAACATATAAATATTAAAAACATTTGCTCAAAATATATGTTTCACAGAAGGGGGCGTTGCTAGTATGAAATGTGTGGCACCATTTAATTTCATCGTTGCTGACAACTCTGTTCTTACATAAAAGAAATCTAATGGCGACACTTTTTCCCCGTTTTTCTTTTTGTGTTGTTATTGATTGATTTTTTGAAAAATTGACGGTAGTCTACTCCACAATGTAGATTTTTCATTGACTAAATAAATACTTCGAGCCTTTTCGAATAGGTGGGAATAAATTCAATATCCGCAAATGAAGTTTTCCTTGAAAATACGACAAAAATGCTTGCGTGCAATGACTATCTGCCGGGTAGCTGCAGCCCACTGTCTTATCGGGAGTAATGGAGGCGGTGCACTTTTTGCGCTAAGAACGCTGCATTCATCTAAGTGCAGCGCTGCTTGCAGCTAAAAACGCTGT